ATTGAGGCAGGTAGACCTGATTTGAAATGCATTCACAAGGAATTAATCATTCCATGTCCCTTTTGGTTTGAGAGCTGGCAGCTCCCACCTCTGTGTGATGCCTGTAACTGTTGTGTGTCCTCTCTTTCAAGAGAAAGACCTGAAACTGTGGGGCTGCCACCGCAGCGAGCGTCTGCAGCCTGCTGGGAGGAGGAGGAGGAGGAGGAGGAGGATGGGGCAGCTGGAGGAGCAGCAGCTGGTCCGGCCATGCCCCAGCTCTGCTAGCAGGGAGGGCGTTCCAGGGCTGGAGGGGAATTTCAGCATTGCTTTCCTGATGCTGTGCTGCCTTGTTTAGACCCAAGGCTGTGGCTTCTCTCAGCTGTTCTGCCGCGGTCAGGATGGCACTGGCTGCCAGTATCCTTGAGCTTTTGGTTCGCTTTTAGGACTATCAGCTTGTCTTCAAGGGCAAGGCTGGTTGTACAGCTGGCTCAAAACTTTGAAGACCATCAGCAACAACTCAGAGCCTGCCCTAGCTCAGGGATTAGACTGGAAAATTAGTTTTAACATGATGGAAGAGCTGCACTGGGTGCAACCAGCAGCCTGGCTAGCAGAGGGGTTAGTAGTGGGAGCCTGGGGAGAAAGTACAGCACCCACAAGACAGCTTTTTGGTAGGATCCTTCCTTTCAGTGGGAGCCAGGTACAGCCATCCCCGCCCTTCTGCTGGCTCAGACCTCTTGGTGAGCTGAACTCTTCTTGCGGTGTTTAGTTTTCTGCCACTTGTGAATGGAACCAGTTCTCTGAGCATCACTGCGGCATCGGTGCTAGCACACAGCTGGGTGTGAAAAAGCAAATGAACAGGCAGCCAGAAAGGTCAGTGGCCTCCAAGCCTCTGTCAGGTGAAGAACAGGGCAAATACGGTGGCGCTCCCTGGGACAGCTTCTAGTTTCTGGCATCAACGCAGAGAGGATGTTGCTGTTCCTGGCAAGGAAAGAGTGGTATTGGTGACTCGGAGCATGACTTGGGGCTTGGAAAAATAATCTGAGTTTGGACTGGTTCTAAAACCAGTCGGTGCTCAAGCTTTATGTGAGGGGAAATGGGCTCTTGGAGGACCAGGGAACACGGAATCATCTGTCTGGAACAGGCGCTGCCTGAAGTCGCTGAGGTCTGTGCAAACCAGCAGCTGCTGCTTTCCCTGCTAGAAACCCACTGGTATCTGCTCACCTCGCTTCAGGATCTTGTACTCCCGTGCCTGGGTTCCAGCTGTGGGGGGGGAGAGGGGTATTGGAACTCCGCTTGCTTCAGCCGCCTTTCTCACTTTGGGGGGGAGGGATGCACCCGTGCAAGCAGAGGATCTCGGAACAGCTACTGCCTGCACGGTTCGCGGGAGGGAGTGAGAACATGCGATGTGGTAAGTCAGGTCTCCTGTGTGCCTGCAGAAGGCTCTCCCGGCTGCTCTGCGCGTTATGCCTGGGAGCGGTGCCGACCGCAGCGGCCTGGGCTGTGGGGAGCCAACCCAGCTAAATCCCTCTCGCAGGCAGATTTGCAGCGCAGCATTTTCCGTGGCGGGGGATGCTTCCCGGAGCAGTTGTCACCGCAGCTCTCCTGAATCCTCCTTTGTTGGTAAAAGCTCTTCAGCTGTCACCCAACCCTTTCCGCCCCACCCCACCCCACCCCCCCCCCCCCCGCCTCCGCTGCGGCCTGGAAAAAGCCCTGGAAAAGCAGCTTTTGTGGGGGGCTGGGGCTCAGCAAGCTGCTCCCCCCAGGCAGCCCCTTCCCTGCCCGCTGCCGGTGCAGAGCCGCTCGGCTCCCGAGCGAGGGCAGCCTGCTCATGCGCTTTCCCAGCGCTGGGCGGCCCACGGCAAGGCTGGTACCCCGGGCTGGGATGGGGATGTGGTACCCGAGGAGGCTTGTCCTCCCCAAGCCCCCCCCTTGTCCGCAGTCTCTGTGCAGAGGCTGTGACAGCCCCTCCGCAGCTTGTCTCTCCCAGAGCTGGCGGGCAGGAGCAGGGCAGAGATCCCGGGCTGGGAGCCATCCCTGGCGTGTGAAGCCATCTCCTCCTGTCCCCAAGCCTGCAGCCGCTGGAGCCAGAGCTCTTAATCTTGCTGTTGGGTTGCAGTCCCCTCTCCTTAGTTTTGGAGAGGCACGGTGACAGCCGTCCTTTGGGAGTGCAGTCCAGGCAGCTGTGACACCAGCCCAGCTCCAGGGAAGCGCAAGTGAGACACCACCAGCTTCCACGGGCTCTGCTGGACATCAGGTTTCCCATCTATCTTGGCAGTTCAGAAACACAGCAGCATATTTTTATGAGTGAGTTGATGGGAGAACCCTACAGCTAACCCCTGTCCCTCCCAGCGGGAGCCTTGCTGCATCAGGACAAGTTTACACCATCCACTTGCCTCTGGAGAGCCACAGAGGGGATAAGTGGATATCAGACGGGACCTGCTGAGCCTGGTTTCTGCTTGGGGGAATCGTCCCCATCACATCATATTCTGCAGAAGAATCTAGCTTCACCCCAGGTCTGGATGTGGGGAGCTGAGCCCAGCTGCTGATTCTGCCACCTTGTTTCTATATGAAGTTAGCTCGGTCAGAGCAAATGTTCTTGCAGACGTGTCCTTGATGCTCCTGGCTGTTGCTCTCAAGACCAGGAGTGGTGTTTTTCAGAGGTGTCTGAGCCCTGCAGTTCTCATGACTCCTACGAGAGCGACAGGTTCCAGCAACCTGATAGTGAATCACTGCAGGGCCAAAGGCAGAAGCTGCTAAAGGTCGACTCTGGCTGTAGCTCCTGTTTGGTTCCCCCATTAGTGACCCCCACCTCAGAAGCCGTGAGGGCCAGTGCCTCGTATTTTAAGGCAGTGATAAATCCTGCTTGGGAGGGTACCCGCTCAGTGCTCAGTCTCTGCACTGGGTTAATACAAGCCACATGCTACTGTGTTCCTGCGTGGGCAAACACCCTCTAACACTTCCCACCAAGAGCCATGGAAAATGTACAGTGCCAGGGAAAAAGAGCAGGAGATGTCCTGGATGTCAGCAGCAAGCGAGGGCACTGTGACAGCCACAAAAGTGTGTAAGGCCAAGTCACTAGCAGACCACAGTGGCCAGTCTCTGTCAGTTTCACCCAAAATTCCTCCTTTTCCCCAAACCTGAGAGTCTACCTGAGCACAGGAGCAAAGACCCAGTCCCACGAGTTTCCCCACCCTGGTTCTGTCTCCTGCTGTGAAGAATTTCCAGGGCTCGGGGGAAGTCTCAGAAGGCAACAGATGCATTGGATTTGGGACGATGCCTTCGTGGCTATCGCAGGTGGTCAGCTCAGCTCTGAGGTTACTTAAAAAACAGAAGAAATACAAACCAACCCGATTAACTGCTGATTCTCAAACACACAGCGTTGTATCCCGTACCCGAGGCTGTGCCAGGCTCTAATCAACGATCACCCTGGCCTCTCAGACAGGCTCTGTCATAAACCCTTTGGCTGAGGCTCTTTAGTCCTTCTGCCCCTGGAAGGGTCTTCCAGAAGCTGCTTGGGAGAGAATTTCAGTCTCGCTGCACTCCAGACCTGTTTATACCCCTTTGTATCTACCTGGTGGAGCAGTCCTGGCTGTCACATCCCTCGTGCTTTTCCACTACTTTCATCTAACGAGTCAAACTTTTGGAAGCTGGTAGCTTCACCAAGCTAAAGCATGACTTTGGACAGGAAGGGAGAAGAAGGGATCAAATATACATCGAAAAAGATGCTAAACCAAACAGCACTGTGGTGCTACCATCTCTAGGTGTTCTGGCTGAGCTCTGGAGCAGCTCTGATGATCGGGGCCCAGGAAAGCAAAGCTATGCAGGAGAAGGGAAGATAAGTACCATGGTTGGTTGTTACTAAGAATACAATTATCTGTATGCTAATGATTGCCTGCCTGATAAGATTACCAATAAAGACAAAGTGCAGAGAGGATCATGGCTTCACTTCCTTCCTCCCACCCTGGGGATTTAATCCCATCTTTGTCCATGTTTTGTTTCTAGCCAGTCAATAAAAATCTCTGCTCTCAGAGATATCTTGAAAGCCTTTTCCCTGGAGGAAAATTTGGGGGCAGATTCCCATGTCTGCTCCCCTCATGCACAGCTGGGAGAAAGCTCTGTGGTGGTTTTACCCTGGCAGGAATAGTTTAGGCCTTCTAATTTCAGCCTGCTTTGTAAAAGGTTGGCTAATCCTCCCAGCAGTCTCAAGAGGCAGGAAATCCTTGGTGGCAGAGTCTGGAAGGATCTGCCAACCCCTTGGCCAGTCTCCTTGCCAGCTTGAGATGGCTCTTAGGCACCTCCCAGTTTTTGAGCCTGTTTTTCAGACACCCCAGAACAAGGGGCTGGGGGGGCAGGGGGAGGCTCTTGCAGCCCAGCTGCTCTCAGCACCTGCTTACCTGCTGCGTGTGACAGCAGTTTATGGCACAAATGTGTCACCGATATCGCCCGCAGCTCCTGGGGAAGCTGGAGTGATGCTCTGAAGCTTGGCGTAGACGTGCTGGCAGATGCTCCGCACCGAGGAGAGTCAGGACAGCCCTTCCCTTGCCCTGCCAGCTCCTCTGCTACCCAACCGCGGGCTAACATGGTGTAAATGCTCATTAAGCACTACGTGGAGGCCAGCTGACACCCCAACCTGCACAGATCTGCAATCGTGCAGAGCTCACCGAGCCGTGGGTGCCCGTCTGCCCGCAGCGAGCATCCCAGGAGACGGAGACCTGCCCGAGTCAGAGAGTTACGAACGGTGCAAGTGCGTGCGCAGAACGGTTTGGGAGCGATGGTTTTGGATATGGGGCAGTGTCTAATGCAGGGTCCTCCTGTCCCAAGCCGGACGCTGGCATCAGGCGGAGCCGGGCTGCCTGCAGCGCAAACCTCCCTTGCCCAAATCCCACCCGTGGGTGCGGGTGTGCATCCCCGGCGGGGTGGGGGGGATGGCTCCGGCTGCCGGCTCCGTGCGGGAGGGGGGTGCCGAGGCCGGGGCGAGGGGGGGGGCCGGGGCTGTGGGCAGGGCCCAGGCAGATGACGCCGGGTAAAGCCGGCTGAGAGCCTGCCCAGCCCCGCCGCAGGCCGAGCGGGCTGGGCGCGCACCCTCCGCGGCCGCGCAGTCGGGTCGGGCGGGCTCCGGCAGCAGGGCGGGATGGACGCGGCTTTTGACTTGTACCTGGCCGTCCCGCTGCTCTTCACCGTCCTGGCCCTCGTCCTCGCCTCCGTCTTCGTCAGGCTGCGGAGAGGCGAGGGCGAGCGGGCGGCGGAGCGGTCCCGGGAACCGGCAGCGGCTGAGCCGGCCCGGGAGGGCGGCCCCGGGGCGGCAGCGGGGCCGGAGGACGAGGGGGGCCGGGTGCCGGTGGAGGAGGTCGGGGCGGGCGAGGAGGGGAAGGAGGCGGCTGCCGAGCAGCGGGAGGAGGCGGCGGAGCCGGGCCCGGCGGCCGAGCCCAACCCCGCGGCGACCGAGAGCATCCCCCGGCCGCCGCCCGCCCAGCCCCGGGAGGATGCGGGCAGCACGGTAAGGCCGGCTCGCTGCGGAGCCTCCCCCCGTCCCCCGGGGTCCTTGCAGCCGGTGTCGCGTCCCCCCACCCCCCCCCCCCACCCCGCAGTGTCCCTTCCCGCGGGTGGCAGGGCGGGAGCGCAGCGCCCGGGCTTTGCCTCTACGACGAGAGCGATCCCGGTAAAAGCCGCGCATTGCCCGCGGGTGGGGACGAGCCCGTTGCCCCCGAGGGCGGCGGCAGCAGGGAGGTGTTTCAGGTTCCCTTCCGCCGCAGCCCCCCCCTCCCCTTCCCCCCCCCCCCCCCCCCAAGGTATACTCTTAAAAATAATCAGGATAATGAAGATTTAAGGGAAGAGAAGTGTATGTCGGTGTGACCCCCTCCTGGGTGCACATCCAGCCCCTGGGAGCCTTCTCCTTCTCTCAAGAGCTAATCCAGGTGTTGGGGGGGACACGACGACAGTGTGTGTTTATTCTTGCTCTCTGCATCCTCTTCCTATGGGCTGCAGCAAACTTGCCAGCACAGGGTTCCTTATGCTGTCCCCAGCCGTCGGCTCTCCTTGCCTCCCCCAGGGGAAAGGATTGTTTTCTCCCTCCCTCCCAACCCCAGCAGGATGCTGGCCCCGAGGTCTGAGCCCTGGCTGAACTGGGGGGGGGCTGGTGGTGACAGCAATGCCTATAAACACCCAATAAATCCTCCTCCTGCACCGGTTCTTATTTTAAAATGAAAGGGGAACCCAGACTCTGTGGAAAGAGCTTGCTCTGCTCTTGCCTGGTTTGGATGCGACCCGGTGACAACCCGAGGTGTCTGAGCACTGGTGGCTTTCTCCCAGGGCGGTTCCTTGTCCCAGTGTGGGGGGAAAGTGAGTAATGGGGTGGCTCAGAAATGCAGGAGTGTTGCGTCGTCTGTGTGCAGACAGCATGTTTCGGCTGGGGAGCGCAGGCCTGGGGCCCAGGCGCCTGCTGGCTATTATTAGCAGCATTTGTAATCCTCAGCGACTGTATCCAGGCTGCCGGGCAGCACGCAGCCAGCCCTGGCCTTGGAAAGCATTGCCACTGACTCACTGGACGGCCTTGGGCAAGTCCCAGGGGGTTGCACACTCCCCTCTGTATGGGTGATGCTCTGCAACGCCCAGGGGTGAGCCCTGAGCCGCTCCCAGGGCTGGGGTGTGGGTCTGCCTCCCTGTGCCCCTCCTCACCTCTCCTCGTTGTTTCTGAGCCTCAGAGCTCTCCCTCTCCCCTTCCCAGCACCCCTTGGCCATGGGTACAGCTCTCCAGCAGCCCCCCTCCCTCGTCGCAGCGTCCTGGAAGCCACATCTGTCCGTCTGCCCCGTGATCTATCGGTGCATTTGAGTACTGGGATCTCTGTCAAGCTGGAGAGCCCCTGGGCTGCCGTTAGCCAGCTGGGGCCCGGCTGGGCTAGCTCAGCACCAGAGCTGGCCACCCGGCCGGAGCTGCTGAGGGCCCGGGGCGCACCCAGCGCTCTCTGATGAAGTGCAGCACCTTGTCAGGACAGATGGCTGTATGCGGTGCTGCCAGAGCTCATGGGTTCATCTGCTGTCTCGCTAGCTTGAGTCTTCTCAGGAATGTTTCTCCTCCCCTCTGGCTGCTCCTCAGTCCCGATTTCCTTGAGCAGGCGCTGCTGTAATGCTGCTTGCCTTCAGAGATGGGCTCAGCTCCTTTATTCCCCACTCGGGCACGGGTTGTGGTAACGGGGTTTGCATGTCTGGAGGCGAGCCCTTACTCAAGGCACAGGGGTCTTGTGTCCCCCAGAAGCCTGGCTGGGCCCTGCGGGACCGGGGTCTCTGCTGTGCCACCCCTCGTACAGCAGAGCAAAGGGGACGCAGGAGCTGAGTAGGGTCCTGGCCAGTTTTTCCTCCTGGGAAAGGGTTACCACACTGCAGGAGTAAGGCTCTGGAGCTGAGCGGCATCTCTTTGGGAAGGACAGTGACCAGGCGGTGGCAGGGAGCAGGGGGAAGGGGGAGGGATGCTTCTCACTGCTGAGTAAGTGTTTGGGAGCGCTGGCCCGCGCGTGATCTCGCGGCTGCCAGGGCTGCTGGGCGCAGGCTGCCCGGCCGGGGCCGGCGGTGCTGGGTGGCACGGCGGAGCGAGTACGTGCATTTCCAGCAGGCACCACACACGTGGGAGCGGGGAGCAGTGCCCGGGCTGCTGCTCCGCGGGCCAACCCTGCAGGCAGAGTGGGGGACACCGTCCACAGCCCTGCAGAGTCTCCCTCAGGTTCCCTGGTTTTGCTCCCTGTAAATATCCTCCAAGTTTTTTCATCCTCCTCCTCCTCCAGCACCGCTTTGGCCAGAGCCCAGCAGATGTTACATGCAGGGATGGGACTGGCCTTGGCCAGAGCAGTGAGTGCTTTGCAGGCGGCTGCTGGTGGAAATGTGCCCTATCAAACCTGCCTTGGCTCAGCTGAAGGCTGCGGTCCCCTGATGTGACTCAGCAGACGAGGCTCCCAGATGCCATCCGCTCGGCCCCGGGCTCCCAGCAGTGTCGGGGCCGCTGCAGGATCAGGGCTTCTCAGTACATCAGCAAGCAGAGGGCTGTGCTGGACACTTGGAGAGCTTGCTTTCCTTTTTATTTGTTTTTGTGTTTTGGTTTTGTTTTTGTGTTTTTTTTTTTGTTTGTGTTTTTTTGTTGTTGTTGTTGTTGTTGGTTTTTTTTTTTCCTCCCTCCTGTTTGCTCAGCACATACTGCACCAGGCTGGTTCAGATTCACTGCAGCCATTAACCACTCGACCAAAATGCTGATGGATGAACCCATTTGGGGAGAGCAGCCTTGGCATGTTTAATGGCTGGCTGGAGCTGTGCACCCTGCTGCTTCCTTCCTTCCCTTCTCCCTGCCTCTGCAAACCGATATCAGCTGCGTGGCTCAGCTGCCCTCCTGCTACCTCCTCCTGCAAGGGCAGGCTGCGATGTGAAGCCAGCTGGTAAAATCAGAGTAGGTCGAGGCTTCCCTGCCCCTCTCTGGGAAGAACAGGCTGTCACAGCATCGTGCCCGCTGTTATAAAATGAAGCAGTGGCAGAGCAGGGAAAGGAGCCCAGGAGTCCTTGTTTCCATTAATTTCTGGTAGTGGTTCCCCTTGTCTCTGCTGGCTCTCATCACTGAAAAAAAAGTTAATTAATGTGTTGCTGTCTGTTCTCATCCCCATCCCCAGCTTGTTAACGCATGAGGCAGCGCTGTCAAAGCAATCCCCTAATGAAAAGCTGTTGGGTGGGAACCACAGCGACGCTGGAGCTACTGAGTCTGGTGCTTGTGAGAAACAGTCAGAAAACTTCAATTCTGTATTAAGTACTTCTGTTCTGGAAATGGCAGATGGCCGGGACCGGGCAGGGTTTTCAGTGGTGGTCCAGAGCCACCCCTGGGATGCCATCCTGGCCGGGATGCTCTGGGGGTGGGGAGGGCAGTGCCAGGCTCTCTGCCCGGCGCAGCGGCCTGGTTGGTTTGCCAAGGGTTAACCACAGCTGGTGGCTTCAAATAGAGCAGGATTAAATGGGTGACACTGGGGAGAGAGGGGCCAGCTCTGGAGGTGACCCAGAAAGGTGGAGGGGGCCTCACACTCAGAGCTGTCCAGCTCGCCCCAGCCAGGGAGTCGTGCAAACCCAGCCTGACCAGGGCAGCGGGTGGTGCTGTCACCCGGACAGCAAAGGCACGAAGGGGATGTCACCTCCGCAAAGCTCCTGGCACCTTTGTTCTGTGCCCCCCCCCCCCCAATCTGTGCCTTCCTGGGGTGCTCCCGGTGCCTCCAGACACCGTAGGCAGCAGAAGCACAAACCACCCAGCTCCTAGCAGGGACCTGCTTTACGTTTAAGAAGTCCGCATCTCCCTCTCTGATACCTCCTGCCTGCCTTAACCATGCTGGAGGGGAGAGGGTGTCTAATTAGTTTGGCTTTAATTGGCAGCTGTGCAGGCTGGGGCAGGAGCTCTGCTGTCCCACAGCGTGGTGGGGAGGGATACGCTGATGTGCTATCCCTTGTCGCAGCCTTGGCAGCAGCACAGGCCCCTGCCAGCAGGATATGGGGCTCTCCAGCCGGACCCATAACTGCTCAGAGGTGCCCCAGTTCTCACGCAGTGCAGCCTGTGCCGATAACGAACGCATCATCTCTTACAGTGGCTGCAAACTGGGAAGGGAGGCAGGACGTGTGTCACCCCCCCAGGGAGGCTGTGCACGTGCCGTGACCCCCGTGGCAGCCCAGCCGTGGGGTTGGAGCGCAGGGCTGCTGCTGGGACACGGCGTGGGGCACGGTTGTGTCGGGGCTTTACGCCGTGTCCTCGACAGCAGGTTTGGGAGGTTGGGCTGCTGCCCTCTCCCTTCTGGGCTGGGTACAGCCCCGGGAGCCTGCCCAGAGCTGGTGGGCTGCTGGAGCAGAGGCCATGGGGACTCTTTGCCTTCTGAAGTGCCCACCCGTGTGAGTGGCTGCCAGGTAAGCCTTCAAGGCAAGGGCAGGCTTTGCCTTCCCCTGCTCCCTGCCCAAAGCTGCCATCTGGCTCGTCTGTGGCAGCAGGAGAGGTCCCGGTGTTGGTGCCTGTGGCGTTTGTTTGCCGGAGGCTGGGGCAAAAAAGGGAGAGCAGCAGCTGGGTGCAGTGCTGGGGTGCTGCAGCGGGGCGTGATGCTGCTGCAGGGATGGGTGCTGCCGAGCCGGGACACCTCACCCTGCTGTGAGACCCACCGGTGTTTTCCTCATCGGATCTGGCGCTGCCCGACCCCTCGCTGGGGACTGGGTGGCCCCGGAGCTTCCGCAGGGCTGTGGCCGCTCTGTGGCTCGTCCCTGCCCACAGCAGTGACAGGGGGACGGGTGGGAGTGGGTGCTCCCCACGCTTTGGCGGGGGGTCAGACCCGTGAAGTGCTGCCTCCGCACGCGGCGCCCCCCCAGCCGGGCTCCTCGGGGCTGCCGGGGCCAACTCCTGGGGTAGGAAACTGCTCTCGTTCTGTAGCAGCTCCTTCTCTGGCTGGTGTGAGGATGGAGAGCTGAAAGGGAGCTGCCAACGTAGCAGCTGCTTTGCTTTGCTAAACTCTGCCCCAAATTATTATTTATTCTTTCTTTTGAAAGGCTTCTTCCTTCCCCTTTTCCTCCTGGCTTTTCTCTTTCTGGCTGGCTGTCTCTTGTCTGCTTTCTTTCCCTCTTGCAATGTCTTGCATCAGGCTTGGAGCAGAAAGTGCAGCCATAAATGGCAACACACAGGGCCCGGGAGTTTAATCCAAGACAATTTTCTTCCCCTGCTTTACAGCTTGGGATCTTCCCTTTTCACAGAGCTGGACTGGGGCACTCAGTCGTCTCCCTCCCGCCCACAGATGCTGGGGCTGTCCCTATGAGCGAGGACAGGGAGAGGGACACACCAGCCCCACAGCCTCCTCCCATCCCTTCTGAGAAGGGAAACCCGTTGCTCATGCATGGAGGAAGCGGGGAGGAAACGGGCAGAAATAAGCTGAAAACCAGATGAGGCTGTGATGAGGAGCCCGGCCTCCATCTTCTGTAGGGCTGGGAGAGGGCTGGCACGGTGGCAAAGCCCTGAGGGGGGATTTTGGGGACACGATGCCAAGCTCTGGCATCTGAGCCATCTTCCCGTGGGAGACTTGGGGCTGTCTGTGCCCAAAATGTCCCTGGAGGCCTTGGCCTTGTCCCTGCTTTGGTCCAAAGCCTCTGCTGCCGGAGTCGGCTTCGCGCGCGGGCGTCTCGCTTGCTGGCCATGGAAGACAAAGGGCAAAAGCACGTTTCTGATGATCCAACAAATGCTTCGGCTCTGAAGCCAAGAGCTGCCAAAAGCCAAGACAGATGTATTGCTGCATTGTTATTTAAGGTAAACGACCTGCTGGATTTTAACCCTGCGGTGGCGGGTGCTGGGCTTTCCAGTGCCCCTGGCGAGCTGTGCAGAGGTATGCTTCAGACGTCAGCAGGCAGGGGATGTGCTGGGGAGAGGGCTGGGGCCACCCCACCCACCAGCAGGAGCAGGCAGGGAGTGTTCCCAGCCCTGCGTGGCCCTGGGGCCCGGCAGCTGCTGCTGAACGTGTCCCCTTGCCGATGCCGGCGGCAATGCAATCTTTGTTTGCTGCAGCAGCTGGTCTGGGCGGCCCGTGTCAAGTCTCCTCCAGATGCTCCCGGATAATGACGTGCATGGTCTCCCTGCAGTGCTTCTTGTTGCCTTTTTTTTTTTTTTTTTTTTTTTTTTTCCTGTGAGGAGGCTTTCTTGGTCAGCATGCGACCGTGGAGAGATGCTGGCTCACAAGCTGGTGGCTGGAGCACTCGGGTCCCTGCTTCTCCAGCAGCTCCTGCTGCCATCTGGCCCTGGTCCACCAGGGTCCTTCATTCCCCACCGCTCCAAAAAGTCTCCCTGCATTGCCCCTGGGCTGTACTTCTCACAGAAGAGCAGTGCCCAGGGTGCCATAATGTCTTGTTCGGTTGTCAAGTCTCCCAGCATTGCCCTAACACCTTCCCCCTCTATTTTTTAAGCTTCAGGGCACTGTCCTCACCTCACAGAGCAACCCCCAGCTCAGCTGCTCTTGCCCCACGGCTGCGAGGGAGCCGGCACAGCAGCACTCGCCAGCCACGGCAGAGCTGAGGAGCCCTGAAATTTGGGAGCAGGCTCCCTGGAGGTGTTGGGGTGCTATAGGCAGGGAGGGCTCTCCCTTCCGCCCCGGCTGGCAGGGGCTGCAGGCACAGCCAGGCTCGGGGTGGGGGTTTTGTCCGTGTTGACAGGTTTTCAAGCCAGCCCAGAGGCTGCTCCCAGCCCGGCACTGGTATTTCGCTGCAAGGCTGGTGGACACGATGTCCCTGCTCCCTGCCCACGCGTATCCTCCTCCGCGGCTGCCCTCCCAGCACAGCGGGGAAAGGTTCAGCTGAGAAGTGTCTGGGCTGGGAGAGGGCAGGGGAAGGAAGGCTTTGCACGGGGATCGAGGCTTCGCTGCGTTCAAAGCTGATGTGGGGCTGAGAAGGCAGAGAAGCCCCAGCTCCAGGATTGCAGCGGGGGGGGGGGGGGGGACGGACAGGAGGGTTTCAAGGGGGTATTACCCAGCAATGGAGAAGGCAGCTGGCAGAGCAGGCCCTGCAAGTGTTAACGAACTGAGCGTATCGTGCTGTTCCTCTCCCCTCCTGTGAGCCCTGATCTGCTATATCAGCATCCTGGGCAGCTGCTTCCAGCCCTCCCAGGACACCCCAGGTAGCTGGCCAAGCTGCTTCCCCCTCGCCGACGGCTCCTTGCAAGGGTCCCGCGGGCTGGGGCTGCCGCAGAGGGCAGCTCAGAACTCCAAACCCTGGCTCCAGGGCTGGGCATTGAAGGTCGCTGGTGTTCCTCGCTCCAGCAGCCATGCCGTGGCTCGGCACGCGGATGGGAGGCAGCTCGGGCACGGGGCAAGGTGGGCTGCCGGCCACAGCCTGAGGTTTTTCCGCGTGTGCTGATGCTGTCTGGGCTGGTTGTTTGAGCCCAGGGAGGGCTCGGGGGTGTTTGTGCTCAAAGTTTTTGCCTCTTTCCAGATACCACCTTCGGATGCCTCACCTGAGTCCAGCCTCGGGCACGTGGGACAAGCGGAGGATGAATGTGGCCATGAAGCACTTCCCAACAAGGCAGAGGTGCGTGGGATGGAGAGCCAGCCCAGCGACGTGTGCTGGTGTCCCTGCGTGGAGGGGACATCGTCCCAGGGTAGCAGGGGCCGTGGAGGGGGGTGGGTGGGGGGGCAAAGCTTGCCTGCTGCGCTCCCCCGAGGGGGTTTGGGTGGGCTTTTAATGGCTTGGTCTGTTGAAAGCAGAGTGCTCCAGTTGCAAATGTGCTTCTCAGATATGCAGGGAGCAATGCTTGGCTCCTGGGGGGGGGCCTGGGGGGCTCTGGCAGTGGGGCAGCGATGGGAGCGAGCAGCCCTGGCGAGGCGGGGGGCTGCAGCACGGGGGGAAGGGAGGTGCTGGCACCTGCCTCTAAGCCACCCAAGCAGAAGAATGTTGTGCAGCAGTGAAGCTACTGGCTGCCACGAGCAGGGGGTTCCCAGCACAGCCACGGCACGTTGCTGTCACCTGCCAGCCTGGCATCCCCAGCGGCTCCCTCTCTGCTCCCGTCAAAAGTTTCTTTGCGTTGAAGCAGAGATATTTTCCTTCCTTGGATGTTTGGCACCCAAACTTCTCACTCGATTCCACTGGTAAATGCTCAGAAATGCTCAGTTCCTAACGCCTGGGCAGGGAACAGGATAAAATATCCCTTCTGTGCCAGCTCACAAGGAGACGGATTCGGGGAACTGCTGCCCCAGGCTTGTGGCCGAGTCCCCAAGGCCAGGGCTGAGCATCCCCTCCCTGCACCCCCATTGAGGCCGCTCCTTTGGGTGCTTCCCGGCTCCCAGCCGTCCCTGGGGGAAGCCCAGGTATCTGGTGGGACGTGCCCCTGTTTGGAAGCATGGCCCAAACCAGCTGTGGCTGTGGGGGGCCAGAGTCTCAGCAGCTTGTCCTTCTGGGGAGCCGGAGAGCTGGGTGGCAAGAAGAAGCCAAATGGCTGTGAATAATGTGCATTCCTCACTGATGACAAACTAACCTAGTTCTGGGTCGGAGCTGCATACCACACTCCAGCAGTTTATCTAAAACTGTGCACTGCAAAGCCAGTGCTCGGCTCTGCCCAGGTTCCTTCTTGGATCATCTTCGTTTCCCTCAGGTCTCCTTCGCCCCAGCTTTTCCCGTGTCCCCCTCGATAGCGTGGTGGCTCGCCAGATCCCCCCTGTGCTCCCTCCCCTCTCTCCCACGTGCTTTACCCTTTGCACGCCAGCCCCTTTACTTTGAATGGGATGCATGGGGCCAGGGAGGATGCAGGAGGATGCTCCAGGGCTCGGCTCACAGGGGTTTGTGGCCAGGGTGCTGTGTTTTACGGGAGGAAAGCACATACACAGGGACACTGCCACATGTCCCTGTCTTATCAACAGAGCTGGAGTGTTCCTCTCCCTCCCTGCTTGCAGTTTGCGTGACTTTCTGCAAGGGGAAGGAATCTGAGCTTGATAAAGCTTGTCGTAGCTTGTAGGAGGCAACCCCCAAAACTTCCAAAATCGCTTTGTGTTTTTTAAAAAAAAAAAAAAAACAAAAAACACAACAAATATGCTGCTGCTGCTCTGGTCTGTGCTCCAGAGATCAGCTGTGCCAGCACAGCACGTGTGGGCAGGCCTGTCTTGGAGGAGCAAGGAGCTGGGGGTCCATGGGCTGCTGCCAGCCGAGGCTGGGAGGGGTCCCAGTGGGGTCCCAGCACAAACCCCCCCCAGTGCTGGCTCTGACCACTGGTCCTGGCTGGCGAGCGCTCCTGTGCTTCGGTGCAGCCGCTCGGCCCATGGCTGCAAGGTGGCTTTTGCTGGGGACCCACCTTCTCCTGGCCTGGGGACAAAGGAGAAGCCCCTGCCACTTGTGGCTCAGACCCCTGCACGTCCCCGGGGAGGGATGGTGCTGGCAGGGGGGTGCTCAGGCACAAGGCTGTGCCTGGGGATACTGAGATAGCAGCTGCTTCTTAAAAACCTCATCTCCCCTCAGTTATGGGGAGGCACTTGCAGTTTGCAGCCTTTGGGTGGGACTGCAGTAAGAAAGACCAAATCTTCCCCCCTGCACTGACCAGTGAGAGGAAAGCAGATTAACGAACCTCGCTCATTAGCGAGCATCCTTTCGGCCCGTTCCATGAAGGAGGCAGGGAAGGGTTACCCAGCCCCACCACAGGAGCTCTGGTCTGTGCCTCCCTGCCCCGCCGGCTCTGGTGCCCTGACTGAACACGGGTGATTTAGCACAGCTAAATTTATCAAACACATATAATTTATATAGGTTTCTTTTCCGAGTTAAGTACAGGTGGCCCGTCCACCTGGGTCCAAATTGGTGAAAATTTAGTCAAGTCCAATTATTAATGTCAATTTCTGTTTTAAAGACGTGTCATGAAAAGAACAAGTCCCCACCTACTATGTTAAAATTCCAGTACTCTGATCATTTTCCTACCTGATCTAACCCCCCTACGATCCTTCCATGTCAGCTCTTCCTACCATTTTATTTTTTTTGAAAGTAATACAGTGTACAGATATTACAACTACAATGTGATGATACAATTAAACATTTTCTACAGTTCTTACTTTACTACTAAACATATGGATAATGTCAACAGAAGAAAACAATGCACGATTAGACAATCGACGTGCAACTTTCTCCTCATGGCTGCTCGGTTTTTAATTCCTCCAGGAGGAAGATCTGGACTCAGAGAACGAGAAGCTGGTGGTGAGAGAGCCAGAGGATGAGGATGGTGAGTGCCAAGCAAGCCAGCACCCTGCAGGGAGGGTATGGATGGGTCTGAGGGGCTGAAGCACCGAGTGCTTGGGGTTGGTCTCGTTTCTTGAGGAAATTCGTACCCCGGCAGCAGCCCCTGTTTGCTTCCCCTGATGCTGCCCTTGGGCTGTTTGCCACAGGGTACCTTTGTGATGGAGCAGCTCCTTGCTCACACTCAGGACGATCTCCAGGGGCTTTAGTCAGAGCTGTGTTTAACTGATTAGCCAATTAGTTGATTGGAAAATGATTAATTGACTAATTGGGGTGATAACTGTTGCGCTCGTAAGAAAATGAACCAGATGGTGCCAAGCAAGTGTGTGTGTCTGAAGGACACTCTGCTCTCCTGAGCAGCCCGGGAGATGCTGGGATGTCCCCAGGAGCTCTTGCCCAGGGGCAGCAGGAGAGCTCGGGGTGTTCCCCCTTCCCTGCCCCACTTTCTGCTTGCCCTTTTTAAGGTGCTGTGTGGCAATCCCCCGGCCTGGGAGGATTACATCTAATGCCACAGGGAATCAAATTTTAATCCTGGTGCTGTGCCCGCGAGGTGGGGGAAGCGCCTTTGGAGATGCGGTTCCCAAAAGACACTTATTCTACCCCATTAGGCTTCCTCACAGCACCGGTGACGGGGGATGTTACCCTGTGGGAGACCTGGTTTGAGGAATGATCCTGCCAAATAGATGCTCAGTAACTCTGCTCAGCCAGGGCCTGCCTCTTTCAGTTCAGCTCTATTTCAGGGCTGCTCTGGCACCTCGGTGCATCACCCCAAAGTGGCTGTGGCTTGGGATCAGGAGGAGATGACAGTCCCTGGCCATGAGCCATGGCTAGCCCAGCATCCTCCCTAAGCACCTCCTGCAGACAGCCATCGACTCCTCTCCTGAATTGTTTACACCATTTCTGAGGTGTTTTACGATGGGACCGGGTAAAGCAATGGCCCAGCCATGATGAGGCGAGCAGAGCGCAGCTGGGAGTAACGGCGGTGCCCTGGCTTCGAGGGGATCAACCTCGCTCCTTCCTTCACTGTCTCTCCTGCGCGTCGCTTGGCCCTGGCCCAGCTCAAGCTGCTGAGCCGCTGCCCGGCAAGCCTGCCAGCAGAGATTCCCCTCGGGCATATGGGGATCGTGCAGGCAGTCTGTCACCAGCCCGGGATGCTGCTGTGGTGGCCAAAACCACCAGAGCAGCCACCTCCGGGCGTCGGGCAGGGAGCTGGCAGGGAGCACGGCGGGAGCGAGCCTGCTCGGGGCAGAGGTGTGCTCCGGGGGCTGCCGGCACCCTGCCAGCCCGGGGTCACCGAGCTGGCAACGCGAGGGCAGAGAGATGAAAGACAAATGTTTCCTTTAACATGAACTCACGGAGGCTCTGAGTAAGTAGGTCACCTCGTATTTCTGTAGTGCTTTTGCTGTCCACGTGAAAACCCAACCTCCCCTTTTCTGTGTGTTTCCTGAAGTTTGTTTTCGGTCTGCAAAGTTCCTCAGCTCAGAAAACAGCCAGTGGTTTCCAAAGCCACACACTGGCTCCTTTTTAATCACAACATGTGGGCAGGGAGGTGGGTAGCTTCCTCGCCTTGCTCTTCCCCTATTCTTTTCTGGTGGGATGGCAATTAAACTGCCCTTTTTGGGGACAGGCAAAATCCCAAATCTCAATTTACTTGGCAGAAAACCATGTGAGGGAAATGATCTTAATTGTCCTTGAAATCAGGCAAGCTATACAAAGGCAATGAAACAGGTCCTGCTCTGCACCGGGGTAAGAAACAGGATGTTACACCCTCTTTTTTTTTTTTTTTTTGTCCTTTTAATATCTTCCAAAGCAGCAGCCAGCTGAATTTTCTTTCCATGCACTTTTGTGGCCACCTGAAGGGCTGATAAGCCACAGCATTACTGCTTGTTTCCAGCTGGCCAGCCTTGTTTGTGTGCCCGTTCAGAGGGTTTTCCCACCGAGGGAAGTGGGATGTGGCCGAGCTGAATGTTTGGGGCTGCAGGACAGGAACATCAGGGTGCTTGTGTTCGGACATTTGTGAAGATGCTAAGGGAAAGGGTTTGCCTCATCGTTCCCCCAGGAGCCCTGATGGTGTTTTGGGATTAGAGGAACACTCCGCATCGGTAACTGAGCAGTAATCCACCAGGACTTCCCAGGGAAGCTCCCCAAGCTCAGGGATGTGGAGATGTAAAGAAGAAGGGAGGAAATGTGCCTATCTGCAGGGAAGAGGTTTCTGTTAAATTCCCAGCCCGCTACCACCTCTCCGGGCACACTCCATACACAGCAGCAGTGACCTTGCAGTGGTCGGCACGCTCCATCCCGTTCCTGCCCGTGCAGCCTGGCACAGCTTGTTTTTGAGATCTCGGGTTTCCCCATCTACAAAATGAAGCTCTGACTTGCCTTTTGCGTGGGGGTCCCCGAGGCCTGTGAGAGCTCTGGCAGCAGCTGAGTGCGTGCATGAGCTTGGGCTGGGAGAAATCGCTAAATCAAGCAGCTGACCTTGGACGCAGGGAGAAAATCCTTAAGAGCAGTACCGGCAGGAAAATAGAGGGAAGCTGCTGATGCTGAATTCTTCTGGGTGTGAGGAAGGGAGGAGGGGGGCTGTGGGGTGTTTTTAATTTGGGCAGGTGGAGGAGGGGAGATTTTCATTAAGGTGGTGCCTGCAGTAGCAGCAGGGAGGGTTGGAAGCGGCTTCCCTAGGTGGCTGGGGACAGGCGATGTTTCAGGGGAAACTCGGGGGAGTTTCACCACTTTCGGGGTCTTGCTGATGCTGAGAGGTATCATCCGGGATATTTGATTTGTGGATAATGTGCAAACTTTCAGGGCCTTGAAGATGACACAATAACATCTTCCTTTTGTGGACCCCTTAGAAGTATCCTCAGGGCTCTGAGGGTCGGTGGAAGTGGCAAATGTTTCTGGGTGGATGGGGAAAGAGCAATGCTAGATGGCTGGATGTGAAGCAGCTGAGTCCTGCAGTCCTTGGGAGATAAAGGCTCGCAGATAAACAGCCCACAGACTAACCAATAAAGGCAACTACCCGAAGCAGCCGCTCTTCCTGGGCTGCCCTTCGGATTGACCTCCACTTCTGTTGTTTTCTCCCATCTGTAGGAAGATAAAGCAGGGGAGAGGTTTTTAAAAGCAAATAGTGCTCAAACAAAATCCGATTGAAAAAGGATTGGCTTTGGCTCAGAGTCCGTGAGCTTCGGTGCTTTAATTAGCACAGGGCTGAGGCCACCGGGCCGGGTAGCAGACCACCCAGGCCTGGAGAAGGGGACCTCAGCTTCTTCTTCGGGTCTGTCGGCTGGTGACAGAGGGACTTGGTGCTCCTGGGGCTGCCTCGGCTCAGCTGTGTGCAGCCCCGGGATTTGAATGTGGCACCTCCTATTTTCACAAGCTTTGCCAAGGGCTGCAGGAGAGCTGCTGGGCTGCGTGGCCCGGGAGAGCTCTGCTCGTGGGGCCATCCGTGAGCCCCAAGCATGGGAATGGGCTCCTGGACGAGGAGAGGGAGCGGGGAGGAATGCAAGTCTGGAGAGGAGAAGTGGAAAATGCTGTGAGCTAATCAGGGCAGGATTAGCATGTCTTGATAAGCCAAGATGGGGCTGCAAGGCTTTGAATCCAGGGAGAGAAATAGCATATGGTTCCCGTGCTGTAGGATTTACTTGTATCTGCTTCCAAGCAGGGCTGCTCGCTCGCAGCTGTCCTTGCTGTTTCCAGAGCTAGCTGCAGCCAGGACTCCTGCCAGCAACACCTTGGCTCTCCCCTGCAACCCACACAGCTTCCCCAACACCGCCCAGGCCTTCTGGAGACTGGAGCTGACTGAGGAAAAGCGTTTTGTGGTGGCCGTAATGTTTGGGATGCGTGTGCCAGAGCAGGGGTCAATGAGCATCTCGAGGGAACAAGGTCACTGCTCTCAGGAAGTCCCTGGCTCACATGATCTCTTGCTCTTCTTTGTCTCTCCTTCTCCTACTGTCTAGCTGCAGATGAGAGGTTCTCTTTTAAATACAGTCCTGGAAAGCTGAGGGGAAACCAGTACAAGTCAATGATGACCAAAGAAGAACTCGAGGAAGAACAAAGGTAAGTTGAGTTTCCTTTTTCTTCTTGCCCAAGGCTACCTGGTCAAAGAACACTGGGTGTGTTCAGACCTCTCCCACCCCATACTGCCTTAGTCTCATTGCACCGTGGTCCAGACTTCTCCCGTTCAAGAAGACATGAGAACAAATAAAGTCATGCTGATTTGGGAGATGGAGACCCTGTGGCCCTATATACATTTGGAGCTGTTCAAGCTCCTGGATGCTTGGACCAAGTTTTCCAGCTGATGCAAGCTGGTGTAGTTCCCCTGATTTCGTTAGCACTGTGTTGATTTACACCTGTTGAGGATCTCTAGCTACTTCCCCTCCCTTTACACTGTGGATGGCCTCCAACCTGTGGATGTGGGCTTAGCTCAGAAATACTGGAGCAAAGTGAGTAAGTGTGGAGCTTTAGAGTTCCCTGTGATGGGTCTGAGACTGGAAATGTCCGTACTCAGGGCTGGCTCCTCAGCTGTCAATGAGGATTTGCCGTGTAATGGGCCGGGTAGAGATGGAGAATTGCCCATCTCACACTTTTCGCTAAAGTTCCCTCCTCAGCCCAAGACCTGCATGAAGAAAGCAAGAGCCTGTCCTGTTACCAAAAATGAGATTTCGAGCTCAAGAATTCGCAGCCTATACATGGGAAATAAACCCCAACCTTGCACCTTGAGCTGCAAAGCCCTATCCAAAGCCAGTCTGGGCTGACAGTGTGAAGTCTCTGCCCATGTGCGGAGGGAATCCTTTGGCCCCCAGGCATGCAGAGCCCACACTAAACTAGAGATGTCAAACCCCACGGCCAAGAGCTTTGCTCTACAAGCAGGCTCTGTGGCAGGCTGCTCCCTTGCAGATGTGTTCAGCTCATACCCCTTCCCTCCTGGGCAAGTTTCAGGGAACTGATTTCCCAGGGGTGGCTCAACAAGCCTGGGAGATGCTGTTCCCTCCACTGCTGTCCCAAGGGCTGTGGGACCCAATTCTCCACCCAGGGGTGTGCACTTTCTCAAATGATGTGGGGGAATCTGTCACCCCTTGCCTGTGATGCTGTGGCCTAAGTACCACCACAACTAGCACGGTGTAAAGGCTCGACACGGACCAAGTGGAAACTTGAGCGCAGCAGGGAAGGCAAGGATGGAGGGATCACACCTCACCCCTGGGACAGGCATGTTCCTGCTGGCAAGCCTTGCCTCGAGGCCCTTGGCCAACATCTCTGCGTTGCCAGCAGCTGGGCCGGCCGAGGTTTGGCTCTGGCGTGGGCAGGGCACCGTGGTAGGCAGCGTAAATCCAGAGACCTGCCCAAGGGCTGGCACTGACACACGCTCACTCTGGTCCTGAGAAAGGCTCAGGTGGTGCTTGGGGCTCTGTACAGGCTGCCTTCACTAGCCAGGCCTGCAGCCATTCTTTCCACATAAAACCCAACTTTCCCAACAAGAGATGTATTCCTTTCACCTCTGGCTTCTGGGCTCCCAGTCGTCCTCAGATCTTGGGCTTCACCTGCCTTACGGCACTGCCAGGAGCAAAGATCTGCAAGGGCTGTGCGCTCTGGGGTCAGCAATGGAAATGAGCTCTCATTTTCTCTGGCACAAGATTGACTCTGCATTGGTGGCATCAGGAAAAATGTTTTTTGCTTTCTTCCTTTTGTTATGCCTTTACCGTGCCTGAAGCCCCCAACCTGTAAAATGCTAAGCAGGTTTGTTAGTGTCACTATATTTTTCACTTGGGGAAGGTGGTGGTGGAAGGAATTCACTGAGTGAATGTCAGAGAAAACCGTGGGGCTCAATGGGAATTGCTTTTCAGGATCCTGCTAAGCACCAATGCAAAAATCTACCTGCAGCAGGCAAATTCAAACCCTTTGCACCAGCAGCTCCATCCAAAACAACTGAGCAATTGCTGGACGGGTTTTCAGGGCCAGGAGTCCTGCAGGGCCTTGGGCTGGTTCCTCTGTGGCAACAAATGTTCCTGCTGTCACCTGGGGACACCGAGGGGACATTGCCTACGGACTGCAGTGGGATGGAGGTTTTGTACTCAGGACTGTAGACCAGGCTCCAGGGGGTGATGGACCTTTCCTGGGCACATCGGGCCCCCCAGGCATCGCTGCTCACATCCATCTGGAGCAGTCCCAGGGCAGGACAGTGCACCTAGAACTGATGGCCAGTGCCTGGGCATTGGGTGCACTGGAGGCTCTCAGCAGCCTTCCACACCGAGGGCCATCGGGAGACGTGTTTTTCCTACTGCTCCTTTATTTTCTTTTCTTCCATATTTGTGTTGTTCATCTCTTTAAGGCAGCTTTGTGAATTTTTTTTTTGTCTTGCTTTGTTGCTGGCTTACTTTCCCCCCCCACCAAATCTTCACTGCGGCATCAGCAGCTTTTCATTCCAGGCCTCGCAGGCGGTGTAAGGGGGCAGGGCTGCTGCAGGTAAGCTCCTGGGCAAGCTGAGCGCAGCGGCTCAGCCCAGTCCTGCATCCTTCTCCCTCGGCAGACCCATCCCTCTCCCCAACCTCCGTGCACCCCAACCATGCTGCTGATCTGCTGTGACCCAGGTTTGCCACCTTTATGTTGCAGGATTGAGCTGACCTCTGATCTCACATCTCTGTAGCAAGTACCTTAGGTCCTCGGCCACAAACATTCTTGCAAATCTTCTTGGTAAGGACACAGTGTTTCTTAGAATTAGTGGTACCACTGATAACATCTGCTAATGTGGATTTTTTTTTTTTTTTTTTTTTTTTGCTTTTGGGTTTCATTTTCTGGGGGAGGGTTTGTTTCTGAGCTACAGTTGACTGCCTGTCCCACCTCCCTCCGTCCCCACCTCCCTCCCCCTTCCCTTCTCATAACAGATTAATGAGTCTGCTCCCCTCTGTCTCCATCTCGCTTTCCACGAGCGCTCCAGGGGGAACGTGGGCTCTCATGTTCAGATGCTCACCTCTTCTGTCTCAGATGCTTGAAGCTGGACATCCTATGACCACTTCTGTTTACTGATTTGGAAAACTAGGGCTGCTGAGTGAATGGGTAGTTATCCTAAGGTGTGCTGCCAAAGCAGAGACAGGCTTAGTCTTTGCTTTTGGCCCTGTTACTCCTCCAGTTCTCCCATGGACCAACAGGTTCCCATGTGAAGCAGGTTGTAAGCAACATCTCAAAAATGCAAGTGGATCCCCCAGACCCCCTCAAGGCTACTTGTTGTGTTGATCAGAAATACGAGTCTTAATTTAGCAAGCCCTATTTTGGAGGTGCCACCAAAAGAATTACTTGCCTTTTCCAGGAAGAGCTATAGGACTTCAGACAGGAGAGGACAGGCATGCAGAATATCGGATTATTTAACCAAAACCCCACTTCTGCTCAAACCTGCATCACTCCAGAGGTTGTGGCTGTCTTGCCTAGTATTCACTTGAGTTTTGTGGCTTTGAACTGGTGCTAAATCTGGACTAAAAGGGGAAGGAATGCGACCTTTACTGAGTGATGCAACTTCCTGCTTCTGGTTACTTCAGTCTTAAAAAAATAGAGGGATTGTTCAGTGAGGGAGGACAGTTAATCTAGTTGGCAAATACATTTTCTCGGGTGGTGGCTGTGCTCGATCGCACCTGGTGGGTGACCAGTACTAGAACAGAAACACGTAGCGTTTTCTCCCCTCGGGGAGAAAAACAGTCTGGGCAGGAAGAGGAAGAGTGCAGGGGAAGGATGCAGCCCTTAATCAGGCCAGCAGAGTGAATTTCCCAAATCCTTTTCTTCTGCACCTGAGGCTTTTGGCCATGTATTGCCAGCTGTAGCTGCCAGGGTGCAAAGCACTAGTTCAGGCTGAGATATATGACTCGTAGCGGTGCAGCTTGCCCCTGTTCAGACAGGGCTGAACTGTGTAGGCATGAGACACAGCCCACAAGGGCTGACTGGTAGGTGTTGCTGTCCTGGCTGGGCACCTCATGCAGACGAGGGAGGAAGAGGAAGGGCTCCCCAGTGTGCCTTCAGGGCCTGGCTCGCATGAATGTATTGAAGTGGTCTCTGCCAACTGCTCTTCAAACCTCCCTTGGGGTTGACAGAGGTTATTGGGTTTTTTTGCAGTTAGAAAGGAGTATGATCAGAACTCTGTTGAGCACTGGTAGCTGCAACAAGGCTCCACTCAGTAAAACAATAAGGAGAAACAACTCTTTTAGGTCTCTGCTTTCAGTTCTCTCTTTCCATGAGGCAGAGCAGGTCCCAAACAAGTCTTGGTTGGCCGTGGTGATGCTCAGGGGTTGAGCTGTCTGCAATCTGTCCTTCCCACTCTTCACTAGGTGTGTTGGCTGGAGGAAGGAGAGCAGATCCCATCTGATGGTATGTGGAAAAGTCTCTCCTCTCTGTCCTCTCTCTTGTTTCTGGAATTTAGGAATCGGTGGGGGTGGAGACCCAGAAGCTGCCCATGCGGGGGCCCTCTGCTAGGGCACCCTTGCAGACCCCTTGAGCAGGGTCCAAGTGAATGGCCCCAGACTGCTCAGACACACTCTGCTCTTTGCAGGTGCACTCATGGATGGAGTGGGTGATCCCCCAGACCACAATCCAATCTCTGTAAGACTGAGGAGAAGGTAGGGATGGCTGCCCAGTTTCCTTGGCTAATGGGCCTGGTTCCCATAGCCAGGCAACCCATTCTAGGAGCAAATTCTCTCCCTGCCTCTCAATCCTCTCATCTGTCCAACCATGGATGGGTTGAAGAGACACTGCTTGAATGCAGACTAGATTTAAGCCTGGGGCTCAAATGCAAGTTGGAATTCATGCAAGGGGAATTGGGTGGCTGTAAATCTCATCGCAGTCCTTTTCTTGGTGGTAATTTAGCAATGGAAACCTGTCTCCTCCCCAGCTGGGTTCACAGTATCTCTTGCTTATGAGGCACTGACTAAAACTGGGCTTGGACCCTGGAGTTTTCAGCAAGGCAGGGTGCCCTTGATGGACCCTGCCTCTAGGGAATGGCAGAGAGGAGAGACCTTTCCCTGCTCTTCCAGACACCCCAGATCAAAGATGCAGCTGTGGCTTGAGGGAGACCCGTGCTGAAGTTTGGTTTTGAATGAGACAATGCTTGTGATGACAACTCTGGAGCACACAAGGGCAGGAAGCAGCTGCAGGGGTTTAATGACCGTGTTGACAAATCTTGACCTATTTCAAACATCTCCACTACTGGCCCTCCAAAAATAAGTGGGTGGACTGGGCTGGGGGAGGTTGCATTTCTGGAGAGCTCTCCATCGGCATCTGTCCCTGTCCACCCCCTGCATTGCCATCACATAGCCCTGGCTCACTTGCTTGCTCCCCCTCTGTAGAGAATGGGATCTGGGCCTTTTTCTCCTCTTCTTTTGCTAACCTTCACACCCAACCCAGTGGCTTTGCTGTCCTGTCCTCTCCAGCATGGTGCTTCTTTTGGATGGGGGAAGCTGGTAAGTTTGGGCTTTCTTTGGGGTTTTATTATTTGTTTGCTTTTCATCTTCTGCAGCACGATAGTCGTCCTGGGCTGAGGGAGGAGGAGGAGCAGCAAGGGACTGCAAAGCCTAGGGCCATGTGGGATTCTTCAGGTCAGGCTGGCCACTGCTTCACTGCAGCCACCAGCCACGGGGATGGCACCGACCATGGGCAAGGCTGCTTTCAGCCACAAAACACCCAGTGCATGAAGCACATTTCCCTCCTACCTGCCCCGTGTAGGAAAGGGGCCCTGGGTGTTTGGGGGTCCCTGCTGAGCTCCCCCTGCTCTGATGTTCCCTCTGTAGGTGCCAGACTCCACTTGTATGAGGAGGGAGTCTCCTGGTGGCCCGGTGCTGTTCCCTGCCTCCACCATATCCCTGGGGAAAATGTCCCCTGACCTGCAAGATGTCAGTGGGATTGAGCTCTGGTCCTATTTATAGAGCATCCGATTGAGTCACGAGTACCCATCAGCTTTAAAAACTGAGCAAGTCAGGATGCCTCCCTCAGAAACCCAGGGAAGGGGAGGCCAGGAAGCCCCTTCCCCGTCTCCTCTTCTTCTGTCCCAGAGAGGAAACTTTTGCAAACTCCCCCGTAGCCTTTGCAGGGTGTGAGTCTCTGACCCTGCCCTGACATGAGATTTCAGACCAGACAGCAACTCTGCTTGAGCTCCTGGGTTTTTTCTTTTGGCTCAGGTCCTGAATTGTCCTAGCTTGTGGCTGCTTCTCTGTGTCTCCCTCACCCAACGCTCACAACTTGTCTTCATCTGCTTCCGCTTAATCCTGTGCGACATGAGCATTTTGCCGTTCTCTATCCGCTAACTCGCCGGGAGCCGGGCTCTGCCTCTCCTGCGGCCAGGGCAGACCGAGGGCTGCGGGGAATCAGGGCATCACACCAGGCTGGGTGCAAACTGGTAGAGAGCAAGCTTGAGCACAAACACTGATGGAGGAAAGCACAGGCTGGCCCATCCATGGCTTTCCCCACCGCTGCGGCGTTGGCTCGGGGGGTCAGGAGTGTTGCAAGGGGCTGGGCACACAACTGGAGGAGGTAATCGTGGCCTCTCAGCTTAAGCCACCTTCCTGGCTGTGCTCTGTCCTTTTGGGCTGTTGTTTCTGTGGCTGGGAAATGTGTGAGGCTTCCACCTTGAAACAGCAGTGGGTAAGGTCTGCTTGGGGGTGGCACAGTCCCCAACCCAACCGACTCCTTGCCAGCCCCGATCCTAAAGGCCACAGGACTTGTGCTCTCTGGTCGCGCGGGCTCTGGCAGCCTCGACTGCTTTCCCGGTGTTCCTGAGGAGCAGCAGCTATTTCCCGAGGTCGAGTGCACCTTTCAACTTTTCTGTCCCACTGGAGGAATTCTGGATTTGTGTTGATAGAAGCTCCCTTTGGTACCTCTCACTCTCCTGCTCTTCTCTTTTCTAAGCACTGACTGTCTCTCACTGTTCTGCATTTAAGTCCTCTCTCTCTGTGTTTTACCTGTTGGCTGAAGCAACAGGCCCACACTTTTGGGACCACTGGGAAAGCTAAGATTTAGCATGTCATTCCTGACATTTTTCCTGCGATACCCTGATCCTGGATAAGGCTGGATTATGATCACTACCAGAAATGAGAGGGTAGCTGTCCCCACAGTAAAGAAATGGGAAGCAGCGGTGATGGGACCATCTCCAGCAGTGAGATGGGAGGGAACTGCCTGGAGAGAGCTTGACCACCCATTGCCAGGTCTGCCCAGGGCCTTTCTTCACTGCTTTTGATCCTCAAGGGGATCTTAGCCTGTCTGGAGTGAGAAGAGTCTGGAGCCAGATTGCTACCTGCCCTCCTTGCCAGGATTTCAGACCAGAGGACTGATGGTCCTGACAAGCCAAGCACCTTCTCCATCTGCCAGGGGAAGGAGCTGGGAATGCTCCACATTTCTGAAAATCAGCTTTCTGAGTGAAACTATTTGTGAAAAGGGCACAAGCAATTACCGGAGGTGGTTACAGCAAGATGCTCTGGGATATCCTTAAAGTGGGTCAGGATTCCTCTGGAAAGCTACAGTCTATGGATGGGTTACAGGATCTCCTGACCTGCTACGGATTTTGCACACATGAAGGATAAATGCACGTGGGAATGCCACCAGCCCACCCCATTTGTCAGTGCTGGGATGCTGTCTGCTCTCAAAGGCAAGAAGTCTTGTGCCAATGCCATGACTGAGTTGGAGTGAGGGGAGTGCTTCTGAGGCCAGTTTCCATGCTTCAGGAGAAGCACAGTCTTTTGAAACCTTCAGTACCTGAGCCTCCCTCATAATCCAGGACCTGCTCTTTATGAGCTTCCCGTTCTCTAGCTGTTCTTTGCACGGAACATGTCCAGCTGACAAATCATACGATTCTCTGATTTGGCACTCAGCTTAGGCCAGAGCAAAGATATTTGGATAATCTATATCTGAAGAAAGAATATGGACTTCCAGCAAAAGAAGACCCTAACCTGGTTTGATTGATGTGCTGCTGGGGGAAAGCACGCCGATCAGGTTGATTTCATTGTCCAAGGTGAACAGAGAGGAGGGAAGAGCCAAGCATAAGCAGTGGCTCAAAGCTCTCAGCCTCCATCCCAAGCTAATTAAGTCTTTCAGGCTCCATGGCAGCAATGCCAGAGCTTCGCAGCCTGAGGGGGTTATATGGCCCTGATGTCCCCAGTGTTGGACTGCCTCATTCTGTTTAGTCTAATCCCCCTCACAGCTTGTTCCAGGAGCAGAAAGGGGTATCCCTGTTGTGCAGATGGGGAATGTATGGCTCTGACAGGCATCCTCCATTAAGTTCATGCTTGGTTCAGGATCTTCTCACCCCCGCTGTTGGCCCTGTCCTGGAGGTGAGTATCCCTGTGAAGGGCTGCAGGCTGCAACTGAGCCTCATCCACCGCCCTGACATCCTCCATCCCTTGCCACTCCAACTTCGGCATGCTGGAGGGGACCTCTCCTGGGCCCCTGTGGCAACAAGCTTATGCCCTCACGCGTGAAATCTGATTATGCTTGCGTGACTTGAGCGGGATGATCCGATTCTCAGCACTGCGAATCCTGCAGAGTGATTATCCACTCCAGAGAATTTCTTTTCTTTGTCCTAATGGGCTGGCCACTGAGCCTCCGCAGCGTTGCTTGAGTAACCCAAGTCTCACATGGTGCTTCACCGTGCATCTCCCATCCAGGATCTGGGTTGCTGGCTGCACTTGTGAGGCTGCTGGAGAAGATAACCTTTTGCAGAAGAGGAAAAGATGAGCCTGTAACTTGCCTTCATGCTGTGGCTGGCAGGAACAGAGGACTTTCAGATGGGGTTCAGGTGTTACAGACAGTGAACCCTATTCAATTCAAGAGGAATTAGGCTGGGGTGCATCTATGCATAAGTGCCCAGATAATGTGTGTTGTAGCTTCCCTCTACCTTAGTGCAGGTCTCTGTGCCCATGGGCAGCTGCCCGGCCCACTGTCGGGTGTTTCCCATAGTGGATGGTGGGCCATGAGAGATGCTGGGGCAATAAGGGCAGAGTGTCTGAAGGGTTCAAGCTGAGAACAAGGGACCAGGCTGTTCAACCCTGGCTTTGCTAACAACATGCTGCCAGACCGCAGGGAGTGCCTGGATGGCCCCACCCATAAAACACATCTAATCATCTCAGCCTCCTTCCCTGGGACACTGGGAGGGCTTCCCATCAAAAGGAAGCCCCGTGACCTGCAGAGAATCTTGGGGGTTTTGCCTCTTTCCCTTGAACAGACACATCTGTAGGAAGATTGAGAAAGGTCGACCTGTTCAGGCACACTGCCCTGTGAAACTGGTACTTGTTCCTGGATCATCTGGCTGCAGGTGGGGAGAGGAATCTGGGCTGGACAAAGGTGCCAGCAGCCCAGGGAGGCTCTGCACGGGACAGTGAGGCAGTAACCCCTGGAGCTAACAAAGGCTTCCAATTAGCTGGGCTTCTCCCAGGGTTGTAACTTAGATTGGTGCCAGACGAGAGGATTTACACGTCTGAATGGGTTTCGACTATCCTGCTGCAGGTGATGAAGCGCCTCTTTCTTAGAGGTGTGAGGTTTGCAAACAGTGGCTTGTTCTGCCCTGAGGTGGGAAGTTGCCTTGCCTTCCCTGCCCACACACACACTGAGTGTTCCCCCTGCTCATTTATGTGAATAATAATGAACCAACCTGAGGGGTGAAATGACTGAAATGATTTCTCTCCCTGTTTCTCTTTGCAGAACTGAAGACTATATGAAGTTGTCCCTAGCCTCCTCCTAAAGGCATCCCTTGGCATCTTTAAAGGCTTGAGAAAAATACCAAAACCAACCAAACACACCCATAAGAGAAATCCATAAACCCTCAAAACTTGGGATCCCCTCTTGGTCTGAAGTTGAGTTCTTCAAAAACTCCTGTGGTGTCAAGTTTGAGGAGATCCTGTTGTGTGGCTCCATGGACTGGGGCTGGGCCCAAGCAGTGACTTGAGTTGTGTTTGGGGGGCTCGGATGAACATTCCTCCCTCTCCCCGAAACAGAACCCAAATTGGACACTGTATATGCAGCAAGCCTACTAGTTGTGTTCATTACCATGTATTAGGCCTGCCATGAAATCTATGTTGTTCCTTTATTGGGGTGGGTGAACCATAGCTCTTCTCCCAGACCAGCCTGGACCTTATACCAGACTATCAAGTTGTTTCTTCCTGGGGCCAAACTCCTCATTATTGCTGGGGGGTGGGAACTGCCTGTGATTCCAGATGTTGTACAATGCTGCTTTATTCGGAGGGGCGGAGGTACAAAGTGGGGTCCAAGTGAGGGATGGCAGATGGTAGCTGGACTGACTCAGATCTTGCTTCTGTAGTTATTTTAGCAGCGAGCTGATTCTGTAGGTAGACAGAAGACTTAAGAAGTGACAAAGACTGGTAGTTCAGCTGTTCTGCTTGTGGTGGAGGTTTAGGAGATCACGCTTTGGCTGCTGATAATATCTGGATTCTCACTTTCCCCCTAATCTGGTTCCCAACAGGAGAGACCCAAGGAGGTAGCTACGGCATCAGAGGTTCCCTCTGGCTCAGGTTGAGACAGTGGGGGTCCTGGAAGAGACACCCTCCCCATTCCTCTGCCTGCTTGCTGTTCCAGTGTCCTCTTCTCGTGCTAGCCCTGTGGCTTGTCCACTGGAGCCAGAGCTGAGTGCATATATCTGCTTCAGACATAGCAGGTTTCAAATCAAACCTGGCTTGTTTGTGAGAGTGAGAAGAGGGTCCGAGTCCTCTAGCGATGTTGTAGAAACACCAGGCTGGGTAGGGATGTGTCCTTCAAAGTTTCGCTTTCACTGCCGGACAACTGCCTCTTAGCTAACGCTGCAAACATATCAGAAACCCAGCAAGCTGCTTTTCTTTTCCCCCTTTTTAATTCCTATGCAGACAATACTTGAAACCTTGTACACAGTTGTCCTTTCCAGCGCCTGGGGTCAGCAAACTCTTCATAAAAGGGCTCATTTAAAGAACAGTAGGAAGCTTCAGCTTTAGGAGAGGCTGGGCTGCCTCTTCCCAGCTGACAACTGCAAGCGTGTTCAGTGGTTTGCATATGAATTTAGGCACATCTGGACCCTCTGCTTCAACATCCCGCTGGTACAGCCGCTGTCTCCCCGCAGTGCTGGCTGGCTGACTCTGTGTCCCAAGCACCCAACTATGCAAAGAATGCCTTATATACATTGTGTTTAAGTTACATGGCAATATGTACATTAAGCAAAGTCTATAGTCGAGTCCAGATTTTTGCTAGTGGCAGCGAGTCAAACTATTTCTTCAACTCAAATGGCTGTCTGGGTATTTTTTACTTTTGTCTGTTTTGTTTGTTTGTTTTGTATCTGATGGTGGCTCTTATACAAAGGACTGTAATTCTAGTGGCTTGAATCTGTAAAAATTGCCTTTGTTTGGTCCAATAAACCTTTGAATAGTTTATTTGGTTTGTGCTTGTTCTCCCTGCCTCCAGCAGCTTGTAACTTCTTTCTCAAGAGATCTGTGTTGAAAATCTGGATTTTAGGTTAGAGGTACATTCTGTCTTCCTATGCCTTTTAGTCCATAAATGATTCCACTGGCTTCCTTAACAATAGGGTCCGACCAGTGGCAAAAGTCAGGGATTTTCCCTTATTTCTGCTGGAGCAACGCTGTGTTGCAGCTGGATCCTGGTCTTGTTTGGCTGCAGAGCAATTAGCAACTCAGAGCTCTGCCCAGGATTTCAGCTGCTGTGAACACTGGTGCCTAGCAGTTCCTGAAACAGAGATCTCCTCTGACATACTTATGGCTCACTGCTCCAAACCTCCAGTTAATTGTAAAAATCTTGGACTGAAATGTCTGAAAAGAGCCTAAGGGAGTTAAGTATGAAAATTCAATTGCCTATCAAGAAGAATTAGGCTGCTTTGAAAATCTTTAATTAATCTATTTTGTCAGCAATAAGTAAAATCCTGTTTGAGCTCCTGAATCCAAGTAGTTTTGAGGACAGCACTTACGGGACCAGAGAATGATTTTACTTGTGAATGGGGTAGCTTTGATCTGAAATCATCAAAAAACCCCCCAACCTGGAGCACTACAAGGTTGTTTTGCAAGGTCACCTTTGATAGGAGAAGCTCCTTTTTGAAATCAGTTTCATATTTTTGATGCCTTACTCTTCCTTCCCAGGGTCTTTTCTCTCTTTATCTTTGTTTCGCTCTCCCTTTGTTGTAGATTGGGTATCGCAGAGAAGCAACAGCAGTAAGACCTCTTTTTCATTTGTTTTTCAAATGCACTCATGTTATTTGAAGTTGAGGGGAGAGCTAAAATGCATTGATGTTGTGCTTAAAAAAATAAGAGTGAATATTGTCTGTGATCCTGATTTTGGAGGTTTGAAGACAAGGAAACAGGCCTTTAGGGGGTTTCAGCAGTGTTAATGTCTGTGAAATAACAAGTGAGGGATGCAGACCTGTGCGGAGCCCTCCCAGCTGGCATGCATTTCAGGCACGTGAGGCAAAGCTGTGTATTGAATTTCTCCACACCGGACTGGAAATGTGCCCTCTGGTGCTCAGCGGTGATCTAAAATAAAATATTGATCACTAACGACTGTGCTTCCCTTCCTCTTGTCTGGAAAGGGCAGCTGGATGCCGTTCATGTGAGCACACAAAATTACAGAAGAGACACACAAATCCAGGCACCTGACAGCCTGTGGCCAGAGCTTTCATAACCAAAAGATCCCACATCATTATGAGGTTATGTTTGGCCTTAGGACAACTGCATTTTAATTGCAATAGAAAGAATTTGCAAATGAGCTTTCTCTTGCCAGGATCTGCTTTTTTCCTGCCCTGCCTGCCGCAATGGTGCAAAGGAGGACAGCCTGCTGTTCCTGCTTCTGCTGGGGCTTAGTCCAGGAGAGGGGAAAATGCAGAGCCCCACTTGGCAGGAGCTCAGCATGCAAAGGCTCCTCTGCTCCTTCTTGGCTGTCTCCTTCCATTGATCTTGCTCATGGTGCTGTTGCTTCTGATGTGTTGATGCTGTCCTCTCTTCTTTCAAGCAAAGACTGTGTCCTGGTTTTGCATGTCAATAGGTATTTCTACCTCTCCTGTTACTGGAACAGCTAATATCTTGTCCGCACAGGACTTGCAGAAAGACTACCAATGGCGTACATTTAAATGGATTAACTACAGTGCATTAAAGCCTTGCGCAGAAAGCTGGCTGTAATGGGGACAGAGGACTCTTGACAGGGTGACCATGTGGAAGTAAAAGCCAGACTCTATCTCTCTAGCCTACGAGAGGTCTAAGGATGCTAAACAACCAGGAGGAGCTGGGATTGCAGCAGATCTGTGCTCTGAGCTGCTGAGCTGCCACTGAATTCTGGCCCCACAGTCATGTAGGGGCAAAATGAGCCTTGAAGTAACGGAAACTGCTTCTCCCTTGTTACAGCCATAAAGCACCACAACCTCATTGGTTCTTTTAATCTCACACAGGAGAGTCAGGTATGAGGTGTGCTAGGCAGTACTGAAATCTGATCCCAATCAGGTAAGAGTCTGGCAATGAGAAAGTACCAGCCCACAGCTGACCCTGACTGGAGCCAAGGTGCACATTCATTTTGCCCTAAAAGAGGATTTTTTTAGACAGTTGTAGACAGTTCATGAGCTACTTGGGGACAAATGACACTTCTGTGCTGCCCACCCTCCTCTATTCCTGAACGATGATCATTAGATGTATGACCAATATAAGCCCTCCCATAAAGCCTCCTCAAATAAAGCCCTGTGACAGAAACAGATCTTTGTGCTGCAGAACATATAAACTGGTTAACTGCTTCAGATTAGGGAAAAATCAGGAAGGATACCTCTGCTATGCAGAGAAGGCTGTTAATCGTCTACCAAGGGACTTTCTAGGGATGGAAATCTGAGCTAGGTGGTCCACTGGTCAGCCTCTGCCCGCACAGGGATTGCCTCATTGCTGGACTGGCTACATGTGTCCATCTCACCATCTGACACTGGCAAACAAACCCTTGAATCAAAGCTGATTTCTATCTGTGATCTTATCTTCCAGTGGCTGATTAGTCATGTCCACACTGGAAGGTAGACTAGTCTCTAGTTTTAAGGTAGGGTATGCATTTAAAATTGAATACCTGTTCCTGAATTACTCTGTATCTACATACTGTCATTACAGATAGAAAGGACACTGTGCTGATGAAGCTTAATCCAGTTTCATTATGGAGTCTGCTAAACTGGGACATGTTGGTCTTATGGAATTCTACAATTGAGTTACCTTGAAACTTTAAGCATAGATAGTCTCTAAGGAACTCCAAAGCTATGTTAAAGCAGTCTGGTTTATCTCCATATTTAAAGAACTGCAGAGAGACGTGCAGGATGATTGGATGGATGGGAAGGTGGAGGAAGGAGAACCAGAGGTTATCGCCTTCTTACATAGGCAGATTTCCTAGTAAGGCTTGTAAAATGACCTGTGTTTGGTGTCATGCTTCATTTCACCATGCTGTTCTTGCTCAAAGTGTCTTCTGGGGACTGGCTATTCCTACTTCTCCTTTTCTTCTTGACAGGGTTCAAAGAGAGCAGCTGGCTGCCATCTTCAGGCTCATGAAGGAAAAAAGTGACACATTTGGAGAAATGTCTGAAGGAGACATGAAGGAGCAGCTTAGACTGTATGATATATAACCTTGCAGCTGGTGGAGACTATGTCCAAAAGTCATCCTGGCCCTTATTATGCAGGACACTTGAGGCTGTAGTGCTATATACATGTTTCCATAGTTATTTTGCAGTTCCAGTTTGTTTGCAAACGCATATAGGCCTGTGATATGTATCTCAAAAGACTTTTAATTTCTCACCTTTTTTACTGTTTTCCCCTGAAGAGCTTTCATGATATTTTCACCTTCTACAGAGATTTTTACTTCTTTCTGGCTGAGTTATATGTCTCAGCCATACAAAGCAGTTAAACTTGCAACTTTTTTCTCACCATGCTTTATAAAAATGAACTTTCAAGCCTCGTCTTTATCAGTTTGATATCTGAAGAAAGCCAAGATGATAGATATAAAATGGATGAAAATAATAGAATCATAGAATAACTCAGGTTGGAAGGGACCTAAGGATTTCTGTAGTCCAGCCTCCTGCTCTAAGCTGCAGCAGCTGTGAGACCAAGTCAGGCTACTCAGGGCTTTATCCTGCTGGGTCTTGAAAACCTCCAAAGACAGAGACTGCACAACCTCTTTTGGCAAAGAAGCTTCCAATCCTACAGTTAGAAAATGAATAGCCAAAGGCAAGGCATTAGTGCTCCGATTAGAAGCAAGTCACTGTTCTCATCTCCTTGGAAGGAACACTTCATCCTCCTTCATGCTGGCTTTTTGAAACAAATCCAAGTCAGTTCTGGCTGACCTTGTTGAGCTCATCTTCATGCCTGAGAAAACAGCAGCTAACTTCAACCTGGAAACACAAACATCTCTTCACCTCTTGACAATGGTAAAGTAGTACAGAAAGGTGGCTGGCTTTTTTACAAGGATGATTGTGTCCAACTCAGATCCTGTTTTCCTAATATAAAAATTATGTGGGAAACTACATACTTAGGAAGTATCTGTGAATTTATCAAGTATTTTGAACAGTTTTGACCAACTCTTGGTGGTTTGGATAGAGTAAAACAATGAGCATTCCTAATTTTAACTGAATGTATTCTGGTGTACTTATCTCTCCTATGAAATCCTATTAAATACTCATCAGGAAGGATTTTATCAGTTTTAATAACTGCTAACAAAGGGAGGCAACATTTTCTGACCCAGTTTTAGGGAATGATCTCTTAAAGGATTAGGTTTGCTTTATTTTGTGTAATCCTTTTGAGTCTGGGAAACCAAATATCTCATTATCTGGTCACTGTTTCCCACTACAGTATATTCCATAACACTGTACTATTTAAGAGTAATTTTATCTTCTAACTGTTTTCACTTGAGTGAAGATTAAACTGTTTTTACTACCAGCCATGATTTAATCTAAATCTAGTGTCTGAAAATTACCTCTTCTTATTCAACATGAAGGAATTAAGTAGGAAGAGGAGTCTCATGATGTGAAACACCACACTATCTTGCTGTCTCCCTAGGCCACAATTTCCTTTGTCAATCTGTTCAATGAAAGAAATGTAGAAAATTTGTAAATGGGACTTCTGCCCAGTTTAAAATTGAAAGCAGGATCTTCTTCTAAACTCTTCTTGAAAGTGAGCAAGGGAGAGTTAAGGTTTAGTTGATTTTTAGTCTTTGTCTCATAGACTTTAGTTTATTTCCAAAATATTTTTACATTTCTTATGTTCGGGGCTTCTCTGAATAGGAACATTTCCGGGGAAAAAAAAAAAATCCTCAAACCCCTCAGCTTCACATTATGCCAGCAGTGATAACACTGATTAAGGCAAAGCAGCTGACATGAAACCTGTCCTGCTTGCACCAACTCTGAGCGTGTCACCAAAACGTT